CACACACACACACACACACAGAGTAGAAATCGGGCAGAAGTTGGGAAGAAGAAAAAGGAAGAAAATGAAGGGGGGGGGGGGGGGGGAAAAAAAGAAAAAGAAGGGGGGGGGGGGGGGGGAAGGAAAAAAGAAGGAAGAAATTTTGTGCCAACTACTTGAAGCTTGTTTATTTAATTCTTCAAGAGGTAAAGATTAAAATTTTATGGAATGGTTATGGTAAATTTTCTAGGGTTCTAGGGAATTGGTTGGGTTAATTTTCAAATTGAAGGAAAGAATATGATTTCTAGCCGATCTTTTTTATTTGTACAAGATTTTTGTATCAAGGTAAGTTATGCTAATTTTTGGCAAACCCTAAATTTTTTTTTGGGATTTTTGAATAAGTATAATTAGGAGAAATGATTATGATGATGGAATATTAACTTCAAAAAATGAATTTGTGGAATAAGATATAAATTAGATTGGTGCATGTGAGAATTCGAGTTTCACTAGATTAGAAGAAAGTATTGTTTTTATGTTTGGGAGAAAGATAATTCCGATAATTTAAAGATTAGTGAAAGGACTAGAAAGTAGAATTAGTTCCAATTGTGAAGGAGATTAAAGATTATATTCAAGTTCCGAGACGTTAAGTTCTAATATTTCATAGTTAAATGTTAAGAATATTTGGAATGGTAGTTGTTAGATGGGTTATTTGGTATCATATTTAAGGTAATGACGAGGAAATTGGAAAAAATTATCGACCTTCATAGCCTATAGCTTGACTTGTAAGTGGATATAAACCTATTTTTCAGAACTTAGTATTTAATAAGTTTATATTAAATCAAAAAATTTATTATTTCATATAGTTGATTTGACAGCATGATTTTTAGAATAAAGTGGATTTATAATAAGTTATTTTTAAAATTAAATTCAGTCCAATTAAATCATTTTGATTAGCATGTTATATGAATATTAAATATTTCAGCATATTTAAAGTTATTTTTAAAACTACCATAAAGTACTCAGGTGATTTTACCCTAATTTACACTGTAATGAATGTGTTTCAACAGTGTATGAACACATATGGTTATTTCACCCATTCTGCACTGGTGTGAATATGTTTCCACAGTGTATGATCAATTATAGTTATTTTACCCGTTCTACATTATTATGAATGTGTATCTATAGTTTATGATCATATTATAGCCTTTGGGTAGCTCTGCGCGTGCATGACCAGAATTACAGAATTTTAGATTTTCAGAATATAATACATTTGTCATCTATGTCGGTATTAATCGATATATGAGTAAGGTTATTTTGGGTACCTTTTTTGTGTGATTTTCAGTAAGTTACAGGTTATCAATTTTCAGATTACAGAATTTAGTTACTTCAATTTAAAGAATAAAGATTTTAACTTATAGTACCGTAAAAGGATATTTTTATTATATATTAGTTTTTAGAAAGTTGGCATAAATGAAAAATATAAAGTTATTTGCGAAATATCTACTTATTGAGTTGTAGGCTCATACATTTTTATCACCATTTTTCTTATCAGATAGTAGCTGAGTGGAGCAGCGTTGGAGCCTATTGATCTACCAAGTTGACCCATACATTGTCAATCGTTATATGTTTCATCTTGTTAGTTCATATAGTTTATGTTTTTGGGATTCTTGCATTTTTTGTCAGAAAGGCATAAATTGTAAATTATTTATCCATGTCATGGGCCTGTTGTGTTTTGTATATATTATGCATTTGGGAACTTTTGTTTGTAAATAATTGCAAAGGTCAAATTGTCAGTGTTATATTTTGAATAGTTGTGTTTTGAAGGGTTGGTGTACCCTATTTTAAATTACATGTACCTGTTTGGAAAATTTGATTATATTTCAGAGGATTTTAGTCTATATTTCAGAGGAAAATCTATCAATTTTTTTTATAAAAATATGTCAAAGTTAAAGCAGGTCAAAATTGTCTTGGTGGTGGGTCTGACTGTAGCTAGTATCTATCATCGACGCACGATATGTCGGGTTCATTAGAATGATTCGGGACAGATCGTGTCTGTTTACACTTTACCGGCATCATTTATCACTCTCTTGTTCATTTTACTCGTGGGAACTTGAATGTAAATGTCAACATGGCATGGCCTTTCTTTTAACATTGTGCTGGACCTAAGGTTCCGTGTCAAATGCACATTGGGCAGTATTAGATTGGGTTATTATTCGATCTTTCTTTCTTTCCCATAGCAAACTTGATTTCTGCTACATGATTAATGCGATGTGATATCCTTTTATTACTTCTAATGACTAGAATTTTAATTTTTAAACTATTTGACCCAATGAACACTCACAGGATTTTCTCACGAACTTGAAACAGCAAAGTTATGCCTCCAATGGTATTTACAACGTATTATGTTGACCATCAATGCTTAAATCAGTACTCAACAAATTTAAGAATAAAACTACTATGTTGCCCACGTCACGCCTCACAAGGCAAAGAATTGCATGCATAGACAAGGTTCAATGCCTAAGTTTGCTCGCCCCATCAAGCACCGTGTACACAAGTAATGCCTAAGTTTGCTCTCCCCATCAAGCACCGTGTACACAAGTAGTTACCAATCCCAAGCCAAAACAGGGTGCAAGATATGTACTTCAACCAATTTTGCAACCAATAGGGAAACGATAAAGAGATTTGGCAGTTCATGTTGGCAAAAAGACCGTATTGACAAGGGATCGAAACATACCGTTGGAGTTCGTAATACAACAACAAATCGTGGTTGATGTCTCACCCAGTAGCAAAGCTAGGAACTTAATTTATAAAGTCGGAGGAGCAAAAAATCAATGTTATTAAACATGGCTCAAATAGACAGGTCAGGTCTGACGACTCTCATTGAAAAGGACCAATTTATTGGAATGCATTTGATTCAGTCATAACTAGGCTTTGACTAGGACAACCAGAGGTTTTATGTGAAACCTGTTGGCCCAGTTGATTGATTTGACCGCATTTCAAAATTCTCATCTAAAATTGAGATAATTACGTAACTACGAAGATTTCAAGTACCATTTTCTAAACTAAATAAACTTGTAATTTTTATTTTTTTTCAAAAATCAGGTGGTCACAATTTTTGACCTGATAAAAGTTTGGTCACCTTTTGTGAACTTCGATAAAAGTTTGTAAAAAATAATTTAATTAATCAGGCTACGATCACAAATCACATATAATTTATGGGAAAATTTCATTTGTAACCGGGCATATAAATGTCCGGGAACAAGTAGCTTGGTTATAATTTATTATCACAATCACAAATTTAAAATTTGTGAATTACAATTACAAACTTAGTCACAAATTACACATATTTTAAGTTACATATTACTTATTTGTTATAAATTGCTCATTTTATTGATCACAATTACCCAAATAATTGGACACAAATGCTCTTTATTCTACCCTACTAGTCTACCACCATTGGCATTACTCAATTGCCACTACCACCACCATCGACACCATCCAAACGCTACTGTCACCTCTTCACCACTACCAAGAATCACCACCACTATCTCCCAGTCTCCCTAAAATTGCCTTCGACAATCATCTGAAGCAATTACATGTTGGAAAACAAGGAGTAGAACTATGGGATCTATATAGGGGTGCACGACATAGCCAAGAGGCACAATGTAGGGACATTGGCATGTAGCACCATCGCCATCGGGGGTGTCAGACTTGGTTCCGTTGGCCATCACGACTTCAATGCCTTCAACAGCCATAGATCTACATCTCACTTATGCTTTCGCCTTTGACAACCATGGATCCACTTTCACGCTTACAACGAGGAAGAGGAGGATGAGGAGGACAGTGGTGGCCGACATTCATTGGCTCAGGATGTGGTGATTGACTGTTTGGGACAATAGGGAAATTTTGGGAGGAAATGAATTTAAAGTTAAGGTTAGTGTAGGGAAGGGGTATACCTGATTTTTAAAAAGAAAAAATTCTAGTATCTAATTGTTGAAAAAAGAAGTTGAAAAATAGGTGCATCTAATTTTTCCTTTAAAATTTTTGGGTCCAAGTAAAATGATTGACTCTTGACAACTAGAACTCACTGTAGTTTATTTTTACTTTTGTGTAATATGTCACAAATCATTTATAATTTTCCAACTATATATTTAAAATTGTTATTGTCCACCATTTTACTTTATTTAATAGACTTAAATAATTAGTAATAAATAACTTAAAAACATTAATTTTGCCTCAAAAAAATTTATACTTTAAATGTTTTTAAGTAACTTTAAAGTAATGACCAACTGATCCACCTCTTCAACTACAACTTGCGACTCAGTACCTCGCCCAAGTCAGTGTGAATCTAATAACTTTGTAAAAAAGTAGAGGTATTCCTCCGTATTTAAAACCAGTCATTAGTTCCTTCTATTCAGCATTGGACTTAAATAGAGGTTTGTACTTTGTGGACTAACCATAGGGCTACCAAAAAAGGCAAACTTCCACATCTCTCTTGTAGCTGTAGGGGACGGCAATTTACTTCTTCTATATTATTGCACCGTTTAATATCTATATGTTCTTTTGTACACGAAAAAAATTGTTTTTTTTTTTCAATAAATTTTCATATTATTCTCTTGTTTTTTATAATGTTAAAAGAGTGTATAAAAATTTAGTTTGTGAGTTTTTTTATTTTATTTATTTATTTATTATTATTATTATTATTATTTGGGCAATAATGTGTCATTTTTTACTATAATGGTTAGATTACTTGATAGTTCTTAATTTTCATTCATACTCAACTTTAAATGCAATCTTAGCATTTGTAATAAATGAGCTTATTATGTCTATCATATCAAAATTGTCTAATAAAACAATTTAGCTAAGTAAAAGAGAAATAATCTTATCTTCAAATGGACGATTTGAATGTCATTACAACTGTTCAAACTCAAAGAAAGGACGTAAGAGAGAACTATATATTACTATCGTATTTATATGAATTACATGCAAAGAACTACTCTATGGATTATGCACAGCATACAAATATGAAACAGCTTCATAAGATTAATAATATTTCTTTGTTGATAATCAAATGAAAGACACCCCAAAAACAGAACAAAAAGGTTGCAGTCTTGTGGACATGCTTTCTACCGACACTTTAACGTTGTAATAGTTACATCATTGGTTGAGTCGATCTAAGTCCTCATCATCAAACTGAGTATGTTTCATTTTCAACATTGGTGGTGGTAATGGTTGTGGAAACAACGGAACTTCTCCTTCCAACATCTCAAGTACTGATTGCATTGTTGGTCGATCATCTCGTCGTTTTTGGACACATAAAAGTCCAACTTGGATACATCTTAATGCTTCATCTGCTGGAAACTCACCCTTCATTGATTTATCTAATAATTCTAATGCTTTTCCTCCGTTCCACGTCTTCCAGTCCTGAACAGTTACCAAATATATAACAACTCATTTCTTAGTGTATAATTGGGTGACATCAAGTATTACGTACGAGAATAATCTTAAAGTTAGTTCCTTTACTTACACAATACATAAGGTCAGGAAAAGTACTAATGCTTCTTCCACTCACAATCTCTAGGACAAGAACTCCAAAACTAAACACGTCTGACTTAACTGAGAATATACCTTCCATAATATATTCGGGAGACATATAACCACTGCATACAAATATTGAACAAATTACACAAATTAGTGTGCTACTTTAGATGGAGGTAGAGTTAAAAGCACGCATGGTTGTCTTGATACTTACTATGAACAAAAAATCCTTGACGTACTCGTTTCAGTTTGATGTTCTTCTAAAGTTCTAGCTATACCGAAAGCTGAAATTTTAGGCTTCATCTCTTTGTTGAGTAAAATAGTACTTGCTTGGATACATCTGTGAATAATTTTCAATCCTGAATCTTGATGAAGATGAAGAATTCCACGAGCAATATCAATAACGATTTCGAAACGTATGGTCCATCCAAGTTTATGTCTTGTTTCACCTGTCTCATTTCAAGTCAAGTTAGCTCATATATGTTTATCAGTATTTAAGTAATGTAGAAGTAAGAAAATTATATTCTAGAATCTAAAGTGTAGTCTTTGGAAAATGAGAGGCTGACTGGAATCTAACCAAATAGGTAAGCATTTAGAGATTTTTTCTCCATGAGCTCATATACAAGCATCCTTTCTTGTCCATGAAGACAATATCCAAGTAGTTTAATGAGGTTTGGATGCTGAAGTTTGGAAAGCAAAAGAACCTCATTTTTAAGAACACTGTCGGCTTGGTAGGAATTTGATGAAAGCCTTTTAACAGCTACTTCCTGTCCTGTAGATAACAGACCCTATACCGATAGAATAGCATTAGCAGAAAGATTGAACTTCACATCACCGTCTTAATTTCCTAGCAAAACAAGGTAAAGCAAACCTCACCTTATAAACAGTACCAAATGCACCTGCTCCAATTTCATTTGGAAGCGAAAAGTTATTAGTTGCAGCTGCAATTGTAGCCAGATCAAATCTATGCGATTCAACTTCCTCTCCAAAATATTCTGCAAGATAATTCCTTCATTTATTGTGAGACTTAAATTGGATTGAACCTAGTGCTATTCAAATTTGGACTTTGACTAATAAATAAGTTTGCTCAAGCTTGACTGTCTTAATTATCAAAGGAACCAAGCTTGACAGAAATAATTTACAGTGATCTGCCAGGCTCAATTAAGAGCTCAATTATGAGGAACGTACATACAATGTTTATTACTAGATAAATTTCAGAAGACATCCATTAATGACAGAAATCACTATTTCTCAACTAAAACAACAACAAAATATAAAAGTTTTACTTCCAAAAAATTTGGGATCATATGAATCCTTTTTTGGTGCTCCTTTTCATTTCTACATTTACTGAAACATCAAAAAATGAGATGCATTTTGATAATAATATCTGAGACATTTGCATTCACACAAACACACAGATAGAACTTATAAGAAATAGATGTCTCAGACAAGCCTAAGATTAATTTCAGGCTTGGCTGCTCCAATTATAAATGTTTCTACGTACGCTTTATCGTAATGAATCCACAAGGTAAACAGATAACAGACCACACGACAAGAATATATAGTATATTAAACTGCATCTATTTCTTCTTATTGAGCTTTGGGTGAGTTTCTGAGACAACCACTTGAAATCTCTTCCAATTACGAAGTTATTATCAAAGTTGTGTGCGGTCATTCAATACCTGGTATTGATAATTGGCTTTTCTTTGTTATGTTTGCCCTTTTCCATAATGCATTCCATGGCAAAAACCGTGGTAGCTTATAAGCAGTTTTGTTTCTCTTATACACTTGTGCTTCTCTGCCGGATGGCTCAGCATTCTGAACCATTTTGCTTCTTTCAGAAAGAGAGAGTGGCATATTCTGCTCATCCACAGAGGACTTTTCTTCTATCTCGGCGCTAATTGAATGGAGAGTTTCCCCAGCACAAGACACGACACTATCAGAACAGGCTATCTCTGGAGCAGAAGATTTTGAGCTTTCCAGCTGCTCCAGTGCAGACTCAAGTTGTACCACAACTTGAGCCATTGTAGGCCGTTTATTTGGTTCATCATGCAAGCATCTTTTAGCAACTTCAAGAAATGTCATCAGGCTCTCTGGTGATATTTGGGCCTCAGACTTGGAGCAACAAGCTGATCAATTACTCCTTTGCTGATGCAATCTTGAGCCCAAATGGTGAGCCCCTGCTCATCCTCTTTGACTCTTCGATCCAGTGCTGGTCTTCCGCACAATACTTCCAACAACACAACCCCAAAGGCATATGTGTCACTCTTCCTTGTCAACCTACGGGTTCTGAAATAGTCTGGGTCAAAATACCCAAATGTACCTTTAACGTTAGTGCTGACATAGCTTTGCACCCGATTTCTCTTTCGAGCTTTGGCCAACCCAAAATCTGAAATCTTAGACTCCAAATTTTCATCTAGCAGGATGTTTGAAGCCTTTATGTCACGGTGTATGATTCCAAGATCAGTGCCAGTGTGAAGGTAGTCTAATCCTCGGCCTACCCCAGTGCAGATCCTCAGTCGCTGCTCCCAAGAGAGAGAGGAGTGATAATCACTCTCTCCACCGAGTCCAAAGAGATTGTCAGCCAATGTACCATTAGGGACATATTCATAGAGAAGGATCATTTCTTGGCACTCATTGCAGTATCCGATTAAAGAAATGATATTAGTGTGTTGGAGCTTCGAAAGGGTTTCGACCTCTGTCCAAAACTCACGTGCCCCTTGCCTGGAATTTGATTTTAATCGTTTTATGGCTACAATCTTTTGCTCCTTACTAATAAATCCTCTGTATACTTTGCCAAATCCACCCCTCCCAATTACAAGTGCATCATTGAAGTTCTCAGTAGCTGATTGGATCTCAGTAAGTGAAAAAGGACGACATAGTTTTTCAGTCAAGCCTGATGGTTTGCATCCAGAGTCAGTACAGTTATCTTCCCAAATTTTCCGCAACTTATAAGTAATGATGTTGACTAGGGAGATTATAATTACTGCACCAGTAGCAATTGCATTTCCATGACCAAAAAATGACAGTAAATTTAGCAGTGTAGCGGATTTTGAAGATCGTCTGGGAGGGGAGGGGTTTGGACTTGCAAGACTATTATCGTGGTTGCTCAACTTCAATATCTCCAATCCTCTGAAGAGTTCACTTACCAATTCATCCTTTAACTGCAGGGAAATTGATAGATCACGCCTGCCATCTTCTTTGTTTCCTTTCACCATCACCATATAGTCTCTGTGCAAATGGATTCCACTGACGACGCTCCTCTTTTTGCCAATATCAACATTAGTTTCTGCAATCATGTCATTTATGGAGACACTGAATACGCTGTTTCTAGTCTCTGCCATCTGAAGTCCCCTCTCGCAGAAATGAAGCCTGAGCAAGTATCCGAATCCAACATCCACGGACGTTTTCCAGGTAAAATCTTTGATCTTTTCATCTGGAACTGTTGCCCATTTCCCGAACATGCCAAGATAAGGAATAGGGTCCCATTTGAAATTTAATCGCTGCATAATTTCAAGCGCAGTGCTGTTATCAATAAAGAATCGAGATTTTTGGCCAACCACTCGGGCTCCAAGATCATCATCATCATGAGAGTAATAAAGATCACTAGGCATGGATAATACCTCTATTCCATTTATAAAAGCATAAGTTTTATCAGATTGACTGTGTTCAGGAGAGAAAATTATACTCAGAGGTTGATTCTGTTCTATATTCATGCAATACTCCTTAACCAAAGACTTCACGCCGAGGGCATCAGCAGTTAGTGAAGCACTAAAGTTTCTAAGGAGGGTGAAAGCCCCAGCTTCGACAGTGAACAAATCCTTAAATTTTTTGTAACGTCGGTAAGAAGCCAAACTGAAGTGAAGACGAATAAGTTTCTGACCTGGACTAACTTGAAACGTGTAGGAGAATTGCTGGAAAGAGATTCGAGCTGTCTTGTAGGGAATGGGATCTGTTGAAACGAAATTATGGAAGGCAGTTGAGGCGGTGGATGAGCCTTTTATCACAAGTGAGGAAGTAGATTTTGATTCTGTTATATCTCCAGTCCATTCTTTGTTATTGAAGGCGGTTGAAATGCCAGTTGAACCACAGTTAATAGCTATATCCCCTGTGAGGTAATTATCTGCAGAATGAACTGCTAAGGTGCAAGAAGAGGATAAAGGAAGAAGAAGACTAGATTAAACATTTGGGATAAACTGGAGGGAGGGGATGCTGATGACATGTTTGGTATAGAAATGGATGGCGTTGAGGAAGAGAAAAAAAGCTCAAACTTTTCCAGTCCTCTCTGCTAAAGAAAGGCAACAAGCAGTTTGTTTTGTCAAAGTCAATTCTCCCCCGCAACTGCCTGGTAACTTCAAAGATGATTGCGCTAATAACGACGAAGACAAGTCATGGTCCTACACATTTTACGCGCATAGATTTTTTATGCAAAAGGATGCTTTGAGATTTACGGTTTTATTATGCCATCAATTCACATAATAAGAGAAATGGAAAAAGAAGCTAACAAATGAAAAGTTTTCGAAGATCGGCTTTTATTTTGTGAATACTATGATATGTATGTTCTTGAAGTTCTTAACATTCCAACTCAATATGAAGATAAAAACGATACTCTTTTCGTTCCACCCGTCCTCCCTTCTTTAGAAAGTCACTGAATAAGTTATAAAAAGATTACCGAACTTAACGAGAAAGTTTTTAGTGCTGATTATTTAGTTGACATACATATACTTAGTCATGTTTGGATCTCAATACGGATTAAAATCTATATTTTAATTTGAGTCAAAGTCAACAATTAATTTTAATCACATATTTTATGGTTAACAATTTTTCAACCATACATTTCAACAACTTTTATCAAAATTTACTAAAAATCTAATTTTATTCCCCACCAAACAAGGACAAATCTCAATTTTTAATAAATATGTTAATTTTTTAGTCCTTTTGGATGGTTTCTATACATTCTTACCATTAATAGTATATTTATTTCAAGGGTAATTGGCACAAAACGTTCTTACCTTTCAAGATTTTTGTAAAAAAGGTCCCTACATTTCATTTTTTGGCATTTTCACTCATACATTCCACTTTTCATTGCACAAAGGTCATTTTCATTCATTTTTGACGATTTAATCCTCATATTCAAATAAAACAAAAAGAAAAGAAAAAAAAATTAATTGCAGCCATAGTCCCAAATTTTCAAAAAAATTACAAATCAGTTAAAAATCAATTTCATCCTTTCATATTGAATATATACAGGAATTTTCTAACCATAATCTATTTCAAATAATCAAGAAAATACCCTTGCTCCAATCCATTAAAAACACAACATTGCACATCTCACTTTTCCAATCATACAACATCGAATTTTTCGTGCAAGGCTCGAAAATTGTATTCATTGAACAGCCAATACATCTCACTTTATGAAACCTGAGAAAAATGTAGTTTGCTCAGTGCAAGTGAATGACACGGAGCAGGAGCTGTGGAAATAGTTTGTGAGGGTTTTCTGGAGTTCTTTGACAGGTTGGAGCCTTTGCCCCCAGATATAAGGAAGAAGGGTTTATGGGTTCTAAAGGGGTAGTGGAAAATGGTGCGTAAGGATGGTAAATGAAAATATGGAGGTGGATAGATTTTGCTCCAATCGCGAGAAGGGCTAAACTCAAGAGAATGCATGTTTTGACCCCAATTTCTCTTGAAATAGCCATAATGGCCTTGAATCTTTTATGAGACAATTTTTGAATTGTTAAGAACGATAAGGATTTTTATTAGCAATGCTAGTGGCTTGTGAATGGAAATAAAACTTTTGCTCTTAGCGTGATTATAAACTATTTTTGGAACCACATATTCCTTAATTGGAGTAAATTTTATGATTGAAAATTAATTAATTTTTTCGATTTTCTTTTGATTCATTCATTATCAGGAAAATGTACGAGTTCATCGTGTTAACCAATTAATTTTTTGGCGAAGGCTAGGTGGTGCCAGGCATACACCACCTCCTTCATCAGGGGGAGCAATTAGTAATTTCTGACTGATTTGTAAATTTTTCAAAAATTGGGACTATGTTCGCAATTTTCTTTTTGTTTTATTTGAATAGAAGAGTAAAATTGTCAAAACGGATGAAAAGGACCTTTAGTGCAATGAAAGGTAAGAAGGTAGGAGCGAAAATGCCAAAAAATAAATGATAAAGACATTTTTCACAAAAACATTGAAAGGTATGGATGTTTTGTGCCAATTACCCGTATTTTAATACAGATATACTTATTACATTATCCATTTGTACACTAAAGGGACCATTTACACAATTTTTTTTTATTCCCATTGGTAGTGTTGTTAACATTTTCCTACTTCTAATGTTGGTATTACTTTAAGGGACTGTTTGATTGGTTCGAATTCCATGGAAAATGGAATTCGAATTCCACCTTTTTCCAATTTTGTGCGTTTGATACGTTTTAATTTTCATGAAATTCCATTTTCTTACTTGTCTTGAGAAATGGTATTTTCTTGGTTTTTAAGGAATTTCCAACCGTTCACAGTGTTTTTTTTTTTTTTTTGTTGGCAATAAAAACAAATTCTAAGAATTATTATAAAAAAATATTTCACTTTAATTGGCAATTTTCTTGTAAAACAAAGCCAAATGAACACAAAAAGATAGATGATTTTCTTGATTTTTTTTGTAAGCAATGGAAACAAATTTCATTCCCAATACTAGTAAAATATATCCCTTTAATTGACAATTTTTATGTAAAATAAAGCCAAACAAACATTTAAAAAAAACACTGTTATGTTAACATATTTCGTGTGAAAAATTATACCCATCAAACACAATAATTTACAATTCTCAAGAAAATAATTTATAGATAATTCAATTCCCTAAAATTTATTTTTAATTCAATTCAATTCCATCTTTGCAATCAAACGAATCCTAAGTCATTTTCAACGGTGATGATTCAGCACTTCTATTGTTGGTTTCATTTCATTGTAATAAAAGAATTAGTATTAAATTCAACAAAACCAACGGTACAAAATAAGACATCAATATGATTATCTTTACACCAACATTACAAAAATAAAAAAATGAACAATAAATTTATCCATACTTCATAAGCGTGCTCTAAAAGAAGTAAAAATTTTGTCCATTGACAGATTATTTATTTTAATTTTTTTCGTATTATTTGACTTTTTTAAAATTCACTCTTACCCTCTCAATTGAACTCAAGTCGACAATTGAGCTTTTACTCTTACCACTTGAACTACACTTTGACCTCGGCATTATCTAATTTTGGATGATTCTGTTTTTTGATTTTACCTTTTCATATTATGCTAACTGAAACTAACTTTGATTCTACCTTATGATTTTGGATGCTTTCATGTTATTTGTCCCAAATTGTTATAATTCACCTTTTATTCTCTAATCCCCTTTCCTTTAGAGAATGCAACAAGTATAGTTCATATTGAGGCAGAGGATTCACACAAAACTAATTTCGTACGGTAGATAAACTGGTTCCTGTAAAAAGCATTAAAAAAAGAATTAATGAGAGTATTTAATGCTTCTGTGCAACACCTGTTCTGAAAATGCAGAGGATGACATTTATTCAGCCTTCATTGTTGACTTTCACACTCCTTGGTAAATTTTGTGACAGAAAATCTTGTTGTTGCCTGGCATTTGTACTTTTCTTGTTGCCTGACATTTGTATTTTTTTTATTTAAATGACGAAAGAGAATTGATATAAATGAATTAATGATACTATTCTATTGGATTTATTTGATTTTTGTAAGTCGGTTACTGTAGCTGAAAAAAATGGTTGTTTGTGGCGGCTAAAAATGTTTTTCACATTGACGAATTTCATCAGCCTCCATTGTTGACTTTAGAGGGCTGTAGTTGTTTGCCCAAAAAAAAAAAATATTAGTATGATTTTATCACATAAATAAATTACCCATAATAAATGAAAGAAAACTTTCAAAATGACAAACTGGTTTTATTATAGAAAATTGAGTTTCATGGAATCTCTCTTAAACGAAAGGAAGACAGTGTTTTTTTTGTGTTGACAAAAGTCATAAATTGTTTGTAAAATAATTAATCCTTCTGTGGACGATCTATCAAACTACAAAAAGAAGTGAAAGAAGTTTATTTATCGACGGAGGAAAGGGACTTCAAGCGAGAGATTGAGGAGTTAAAGGCTAAGGTGAACTTCCTGGAACTTTGTTTTTCGCTTTTGTCTTCCATTCAAATTTGTTCATTATTAAGTCTTATAAAAATAAGCTTCAACTTTTTGTCGCTAAATCTATTTGTTGAGTTTGTTTTTATTTTTGAAAATTGGTATTTACTTTATGGGATTGAAGACTTGTTGAATTCTTTTTTCAAGATTTATTAATTTGCTTTTGTAGCGCATTAATAAATAGTTTGTTGTAGTAGTGATTTGATGGAATTATAAAATAGCTTAGAATGAACGAAATGAAAAGAAATAACATATAATCAAGAGTGCTGAACTAGTTTTTTAGACATTTAAAAATTTATAACGACAGATTGAATAACATTATCAAATGTTTTTACTTTTGTGGTTGGACATATTATCTATTATAGAAGTAAATGGATAAAAATTAGAAAAAGTAGAGAAAGAAGAAAGCATTAAATGCAGTTTGTCAAAATAAAAATATTGGCTTGGGAAATGAGTATTGTGTTAACCGTGTAGTTATAACTATTGTGCGTATGATTTTTGATAAAGGAATAATGAAAGTTTTGAAAATTATTATATTTAAACTATATGTTTTTGGAAGGCAAATCATTTGAAATTTCAAATTTTTTTTTTGCTTAATTTTTTTTTGTCTTTTGTTTAACTACACTATTTAATTCTCTAGCATGAGTTTAAGCATCTAAAAAAGTTAAAATTTATTTTATTTTCAACTAATTTTTGTTTGCTTGTTTATTTGTATAGTTAATTTTTTTTAATATTATTGTTTACTGTTTTGTTTGTCCTTATTTAAAGCATATCCATGTATATCTGGTTGTCATTAATATTTAAATCTTTGTATGATTGATGTTAATATAATTTTTTCATTGTTAAAAAGTTGAATGAATTTAATATATCTTTAACAATTTGTTGTAACTAATTTTTGATTTTTATATATTTTGGTTTTTGTGTCTGAATGGTTTAACACATTTGCTAATAATGTTTATGAATTATTTTAGATCATATTGCTTAGATTGGAGTTGAAATATTAAATAGTTCTTTCTGCTATCGTGATGGTAAGTCTGTGTTACTTCATACTGGTAGATTATTTCAACAATATGTTGTAATGTTAAATTACAGATTATGTCTTCTGGTAAGTCTGTGTTACTTCATGTCGGTAGATTAGTTTAACAAT